GTTCCTGTAGTTATGTCTGGATACATACTCACTTATCAGGGCTTGGTTCTAGGATCCATATATGAGGGAGAACATATGTCGATTTTTTTTCTGAGATTGTGTTACTTCACTTAGTATAACAGATTCTAGTTCCATCCATTTACCTGCAAATTTCATGATTTCATCTTTCTTTACTGCTGAGTAAAACTCCATCGTATATATGAACCACATTTTTAAAAATTGTTGTCTCCAGGGGGTTCCCGCTTCATAAAGGAGGAGATGGAGGCCCCCTGAAGAAGTGCCTTGACTACAATGCTATAGGAAGAAAACAAAACAGGAGGAAAACTGAGGTGTAAGCATTCTGGGAAACTAAGTTTTCAAACGTGGCTATGATATGCTCCAGACCCTGACATAGGTGGTGAAGAATGAGGCCAGACTTTTGCCTTCAGTCCCAGCCCTGCCAACACCTGATACCTGTAAAACTGGTGAGAAACTTTTTTTTACCCCTCCTGTCGCTACCAAATTTAGTGCTTGAAAAAGTAAGGAGGAAATCATTGCATTAGCCCCAGCCGAGGTTTATGCTGGCAGGTATTCATAAACGTGTAACTTCTCCATTCATCTCTGCCAATGCGCTTCAGTTCTGACCTGCTACACCCTGCTATTTCAGGACTGGCCCGCCCTGGAGTAGAAACTGCCAATGGCTTGATTTGCGCCAAATGATTTGGGGGAGTCGTGTGCTCTGGACAAACAAGAACGTTAAGTGACTGGCACTCAAAACAAAACCAAGCCTCCTCTGGTCAAGGGTGATTCGATTGGGATTTGAACCTGGGTCTCAGCAAGGTTAAAGGCTCGTCTGTCCACCCTCTGTACCACCTGGCCACTTTGCTCCAGTCTCCTTTCCAAGAGAGCAAGTTTTACTACGGCTGTTTATGCCGTCTGAATGCAGTCCAAAAGCATTCTTCATCAGCCAAAACATACTTTTAAATAATGTTAAGTGACCAACAAAAGCAAAGAAATTAAAAGTTAATCGTGGGATCCCGTTGCTACAGCACCCCACTGTGGTTTTCTGCAAAAAACAACAGAAGATATTCTGGGCCCCTCCAAGCCTGAATTTCTCCGTAGAAATAACTATGAAAACTTAAATCGTGACAGAGTCTTGCTCATTAAAAGGCTTCCCTTGCACCCCAGGGGCAGGGGTGGAGAAAAAGGGCCTGTCCCAGCCTACAAATCAGCCCCTTCCTGTTCTTTGCCACAATAGGATTCCACTAGACACTGATCCTTTCATTAGCTTTCTCACAGAATCCAGAAGCTTCCACCAGTTCCTCAACCCAATTCATTCAGGATTGGGCATCTTGGAGGCTTCAGGTTATAGCCTCCAGGGTTCCTTGACCAATGTCACCAAAGGCATGCCCAGAACCAGGTGGTAAAGGTCATTGGGCGGAAAGCTTCTGTGTCCCTGAGCCTGCTGCGGCAAGGTAATTTCATTTCAGAAGTGTCCTTACACCTACTGACCCCAAAGAGGAGCTAATCCAAGAACAGAAACTCCAGAAGCCACTTTGGAAGGAGGAAAGGACACCAGGTTCCAAATTGGAAAGGGAGCCCTTTATGGAAGAACCTGCGGCTAGATTTTGTGGGACTTCTTGTGCGCCTGACCTTGACCTTATTATATTTAGCTTTGAAAAAAATTAGTGGAAGTCGAAAGGCTAAGCAGTACTGGGTTGGCTTTCGCTGGTACTTTGAACTACACCTTCCTACGGGACTCTAGTTCCCATGTGACATTTGAACCAAGCACTGTCCCTCCCCTCCAGAGGCAGCTTCTCCTCCTCTCCTCTCCTGACAGATGAGCACTTTCATTTTATAATGTTGATTACCTTTAGCCCAATGCTTAAAGCCCCTCTTGGACCTCTAATGAGAAGAAATGCTGGTCCATAGCATGCTATTGTCCGAGGCTCATAGAGGCCACCTCCTGGGTAGTTGTAGGATGCTTGGGTTGAAGTTATTTCAGGACTTGGAGAACCTTTGAAAAGCATCTATTCAGCCCTCTTAGTGGATGCAGGGCCATGCAGGTGGGGGTGTCCTGAGGGGTCCCAGCTCTCTACATAGTAAACCTCTGAGGGGCAGAACTCAACATGTCGCCTCTCATCCCGTTTTTCCTACAACTTCATTGTTCTTTATCTTTGCAGGCCTTGCCTTTTCTGTTTGATTTTTGCTTATGAATTTCACATATAATTCCTGCATGCTCACTCATCCAGGAAAGTTGTAAAATACTTAATGGAAATCTAAGATAACCGGGAGGAAGCTAGAGGCATTTACAAGTTCCTCCTGCAGTTGGTCATAAAAACATTTGCACAGTGTATTACAAAAATGTACAGTGCCCAGGACCATGCAGTAACACGGTAAGTGCTGCATCTGTTGAACAAATAAAGTGGAATCTTTCTTTTTCTGACATAAATCAATATAACCAATATAGTAGATTATATATCAGGAAGATAATGGCTACTTCTGGGGGATGGGATAAATGATCAATTTCATATTCTTTTTATCAATTTTTCTAAATTCTCAGCACTGAAAATAGATCTCAAAGAAAAAAAGCAATAAAACTTATTTTGGAGTAATTTCTTACAGCACTTTGAAATACTCGCTATTTCTAAATGTAAATGTTAACGTATTAGCAGATGGTTTGGGATGATTACTATATTTGCATTTTCTGAAGGCTGCTTTCTAACTTCGGCACTGTATTAAATGCCCAGTGAACATAAGACCGTATGGCTATTATCTCCATTAATAGTAACAAAGGTTTAGTGGGCTTCAATGATACTACTAAATAGTCACAGCTCCTAAGTCATAGAACTGAGATTCTAACCAAGATAAATCACATAGAATCAGGTCTTAACCTTTGGCTAGACTGTTGCTACTTCTTAGAAAAAATTCCTTTTAGAAAATCTATCCAACATTCTTAGCCTGGTAAATGTAAGAGAATATGCACACACTAAGACCACACTGCAACATTTCTGTATAGACTACATTTGGAAATTTTTGCAAAGTTAAATTACAGTCAAAAAAAATTTTTTTAAGGTCAACAGGGAGGAGGAGAGCAGGTAAAAGAAGGTACAGCTTTGATAAAATTAAACTCACATAAGCTCTTCTCTTCAATTATCAAAAGCTCGAGTCAGAGCTCAACAGGTTAGGACACCATGAGTTTGAATAAAGTAGTGATTTCACACAACTGCTGTATTAGTGGTTATTGATTTGTTCTGAAAGCATTCTAGCATCCCTCGACCCGCTGGGCTGGGTGGCTCTCATCTGCAACACTGTCATGGCTGTCCGCCTGTCATCAAGGCACCAACTCATCTCCCCGTAGTTTCAGGGTCAGCAGTTCCTGCTATTGAAAACCCAGCCTTTTTTCCACGGGTTTATAAATAGGTTGTTTTAAGTGACCCTGAGCTGAAACCAAGCTTACAAGGTGTCAGGCTAGATGCAAGTTTTCTGCTCGCTGAAGCTTTAAATTCGCCAGACCCGATTTCTAAACACAGCTTAGGACCCAGCCACTAAAACAAGTTTTAGTTCTAACAGTATTCCTTTTGAAGTCTCCATCTGCTAATGAAATCCAACACTGCAAGTTTAAAATATGAGGTTTTTACTTAGGGAAGAGGTGACAGAGGACAGGGAGGGCTAAGGCAATAACGAAGTAGGCTCAGTCAAATCCAGCCAACCAGAACTCCTACTTAAATGAATTCTGAAGATGAAGGGCCTGCCTGATGCTCCCAGGAGAAAAAGGCAAACGATAGAAAACAACTTACATCATAGATTTACTTTTTTTTTTTTAATCTTCTAAGCTATTTCCTAAAGTGAACAGAAATTTTATGTGATGGCACTTTTTAGATTTACAGCTCTGAACAGTGATTACTACTGATCTATTCACAAAGACAAGAACACATGATTTCAACATAAGCAAATATACACTATGCTTATGTCGGGGGAAAAGGCACTTTATAAATAATGTCAGCATCCAAATCAGAGTGAAATTTATCAGTGAAATATCATTTTCTGATGAAGACATTCAATTCTAATTATTAAAATTAAATAACTGCCACTGAACATTTCTGGGTCAGATATTTTCCTCTGTTAATCTGCTTTAACACTAAGGACACCTCTTCCAAACACTCCTGTTTCCATTTAGTGGATGAGAACACTGAGTCTGGAAGTTAACTTGCTCAAAGCTGTTTGGCTAGCAAGTTGCATAATAAGATTTCAATTCAGGTCTGGCAAATTCATAAGGTCTTGTGATCTCATGAGCTTACCCCCTGAAGCTGAGGCATAAACCTCAGCTTTACTGTAAATGAGGTCTGCTAAATTTTCTACATTACTGTCTTCCCTCATTTTGTGTAAAAGTGACACACGTGGATTCTAGTTAATTTTCTACATGAGCGTTGCAGGCGTGAGCTTCCTATACCTTTTTTTTTTTTTTTTTTTTCATTTTTATGTGTGTGGGTGTGTATGCACGTGTGTGCCCATGGACTTGTGTGGGTGTGCATGTGGAGGCCTGAGGTTGATGTCGGGAATCATCCTCAGTCACTCTTTGACCTCATTCATGGAGGCATGGACTCTCAATCAAACCCAGAACTTGCAGATATGGTTACTCTTGCTAGTGAGCTTGCTCTGGAAATCCCATCTCTACCATAGGAGGCTGGTGGCCACATCTGCCCAGCATTTAGATGGGTCTCTGGGAATCCTAACTCTGGTCCTCAGACTTGCCTGACAAGTGCTTAACTGCTGAGCCATCTCCCCAGGCTCGCAACTGTTTTCAGTAAGACACTGAAAATGATGTCCTTGGATCTTTGGTGTCATCCCAAGAGATGCTGGCTGAGACACCGACAGTCTCGAGGAGACTAAGACCGAAGGTATCCTTGAGGAGGGTGCCCTGCACACTACTTACAACCCAGCACTATCGTGGGTGTGCTCCACCACAGCGCCCCCTCTCGGTGGAGAAGCCTCCTGCACCGAATCACACACAGAGGACCTGGTTGTATCAGCTTCTCCCAGGGGTCCATGCACAGGCAGCTTACCTTCATGTGAGATTTGAGATTGTCCTTGCGAGCACACCGGAATGGACAGAGCGGACACTGATGACTTTTTAAACCTGTGTGAATCACCATGTGTCGCTTCCAGTAACTCTTCCTTTTTATAACCAAACCACATATTGGACATTGGAAGGGTTTTCCGCTTTCTTCTTCTGAGGCTTGGAAGAGGGAGAGAAAAAAAAAGGAACATTAAGGGAAACAAAGAGGCACAGAGCACCTGGAAGGGAAACAAAGAGGCACACTGCACCTGGCGCTGACGTACACGTGTCACTATATAAAAAGCACGAAAACTGACTTGGGTTTTTTTCTTTGGTGATTCTAAGATTGTAACCATGGAGAACATGGTTCACGGCTGCTTTTCTTTAGGTTGAAACCCACATTCGTTGGGTTCCATTTGGTTCTCATCCTGCCTGTGACAGTCTTACTTCCAAACACCATCATGTATGAAGAGGGCATCTCCAGATGAGCCTGATCCAGGCACCCAAAGCCAGGGAATCCTGAATTCAGGAGGTAAGCCTGAGTCTGTGTCTGAATTCCCCTTGGAAATGAGTGAGAAATCGAGGTAGTTAAATAGAAGAGAATAACATACCATTAAACATAGAAAACCGAACAACTAACAGAACACACACTGGCCTCCAGTGGAGACAAATTTCAGGATCCCTACTGCTGACTTGTTTACTTGGCCCATGGAGACAGAGGCTGCTACCAATTTAGCCATCAGGGGGCCCTCAGGTCAGGTTGTGGTTTTTTTTTTTCTTATCCTCTTATGTCTGTCCCTCTGCTTACCTCTAACAATGTATACTGCCTTTCTCTGATCTGCACACGGCCTGGCTGCCTGTAGTAGGGAGGGACACCCCAGGCCACCACTAACGCTTGCAGCATTCAGGGAAGCAAACAAATCAACTGCTTCCTCCGAGTGCAGCGTAGTTCTCTGTCTCCTGCACCATTCCCCCAAAGAAAGCATCTCTGTTCTGACACTGTATTGCTAAACTTCTGGCCCATCAGCTCACTTCTGCAACTTGGAAGTATGAGGAATACAAACACGTACAGTTGAAGGCTTGGGGTTAGTTTTGTTGTTTGTTGTTACTGTTGTTTGTTGGTTTTGGGGGGGATGGGGGTCGGTCCTGGGGATTGAACCTAGGCCTATTCTACCATTGAGCTGTACCCAGCTTCTTTTTACTTCTTATTTTATTTATTTGAATCTGGAATTCACTGCTTTCTAGGCTGACTGGCCAGTGAGCTCCAAGGATCCTCCGGTTTTGGCCCTCCCAGCAATGAGATTATAGGCATGCACTGCCACGCCCGGCTTTTGCAAGGGTGCTGGGGATTCAAACTCAGGTCCTCATACTTATGCAGCAAGCACTCTACTTACTGAGCCTTTCTGCCAGCCCCACCCTTCCCTTTTAAAAACGCAATTTATGTGTTAAAGAAAGTGGGTCATTTGTCTTGAGGAATTCTTCACACTCTAAATTTGGCCAATTGCATCCCTGAATGTGTTTGACATTTTTTTTCCAGTACTTCAATTTCTGATAAATTGCCAGTTAGTTAGAGGCTTGGTTAAGTTTTTAGGACTAATTCACAGCTGTCATATCAGAAGGCATGGAATAGTGACCTCTGGCCTCCACAAGCACCGGCACACGTGTGCACACACAAGCACCCACAAAAAGGAATTATGGGTAAAAAGGAAAAAGACTTGAGAGATATACAAAAATAAATGCAAGTTGTGAAGCTTATTTGGATCTTGTTTAAACCAAACACTGGTAAAAGACACTTCTGAGACGGGAGAGTTAATTGTGGGATTCCATAATACTATGTAGCAATTGCCGATTCTGTTAAGATGGGAAGTGGAAGTGTGGCGATTGTTTTCAAAGTCCTTATCTGTTGGAGACACACAAATATGGAATGTTTACAAGCAAACAGATAAGATGCCCTGGATCTGCTTTGAAATACTTGAGCGAGAATGAAAACAGGGGCCAAGTGGGAAGAAAAGCAGGAAGCAAACGACCATAAGTGCACTGATATCCTTTTGTTTGCATGAAATTGTCCTGGACGCACACCTAAGACACCTCTACGCTGCAACCAGTGCAGGAGTGTGAACTGAGGTGAAGTCAGCATGTGGGACTGTGTCTCTCTTTCCGGTCTTCTGTACTATTTGAGTTTTTAAATACGTGCATTGCTTCTGTGATTTTTAAAGGAAAGATTCCCAAGTATATACTTTAGGATAATCTCACTATTTATTCATTGAGTCAACTCAGTTTCTACACGCCATATGGTCAGGTTGGGGGATTCAAAAAAATGCAATTTTATTAATATAGGTATGAGTGATATCAGTTGGTTTAACCAAGCAACTAGAAAAGGCATCTTCTAACTGCAAAGATGCCCTTCAAGGCTGGAAAGTCTACTTTCAGTGTGCTGATTGGCAGGGGTAGGCACTGAGGGGTTCCTTCTGCTCTGCGGGCACACATCATTCCCTTGGGAGTGCCCATACTGTCCCTGCCGTCTGTTTTTGCTGAGTATCTGGGCTGATCTGATCGCACTCCCAATTTCACTTCTCATTTTGTAGACTTCATTGTCTTTTCCCACACCCTGATATCTTGGTCCCAAGGCCAGTATGTTGCACAACAGACTGGAGAGAAAGGCCTGAATCAGGCCTCTAGGTGAGATTATTGTCATGCAGTAGAGAGAGAGAAAACGATAATGATGTCTGTTCTGGGTCAGAAGAACATCAAAGTAATAAGCAAGACACACACAAACACACTGCTACAGATCCCTATCTTAGGGAAGCGTTTCCCACTTTTGAAACCGGAAACTGTAATTTTACAGAACTGTTGGAGAAAGAAAAGAAAAACTGAGACATGAGACAGCCTCCACAGGCCAGCAGCATCACGGTATACCACAGGAACGTGATTAGAAAGCACTAAGAGGAAAAATGAACAGTGCCAGATTGCAGACTCTGCTATCATCGTGCCTTGCCTAATGTGCGCCACAGGTCCCCTGATCTGTTACCTCCCTAGCCCCAAGCCTAATCACCAATTCTGTGTTTCAGGTGTTTTGCAATGCATTATCTTATACCAGAATCTTTCCGGTACCATCCGTTAAATGGTTGTTGGCATGTAAAAACCCAGTTGATTCCATAAATAAACAATTCCTAAATATATCAGCACTCCACATAAATCCATTTATTTCATGCTGGAGCTATGCTGCCTTAGTTTTAATCAGTTTACTAAAATACATATGAATTGTGTACAAATTAGGGTGTCCTTGGATAGACTGGGGAAAAATAATGCTCTATGAAGAGAAACTGACTGCAAAATTTCAATTCTTTAACTATTTGGAATTTTTTTACGTGTGTACATATGTGTACACATATGTGAGTGTGCTTGTGGAGGCCAGAGGTCAATGTCAGGTGTCTTTCTAAATCACTTTCCACCTTTTAAAAAAATTATTTTTATTTTATGTGTATGAGTGTATTTCCTGTATGTGTGTAAGTACACCCATGTCATACAATGCCCTCAGAGGTCAGAAGAGGGCATCGAATCCCCTGGAACTGGAGTTACAGACAGTTGTTAGCCATCATGTGGGTGCTGGGATCTGAACCCAGGTCTTCAGCAAGAACAGCCAGTACTCCTAAATGCTGAGCCATCTCTCCAGCCCCTCCACCTTATTTTTTTGAGACAAAGTCTCTCACTGAACGTGGAGCTTGTCCACTCACTAGACTGGCTGCCAGTGAGCCCCAAAGATCTGCCTGTCTCAGCTTTCCCAGAGTTGGATAACAGGTACACGTTCTTATGTGGATTCTGGGGGATGAAACTAAGGTCCTCATACTTGTACAACAAGCACTTTACGGACCGAACCATCTCCTGAGCCCCTATTTGGAAATTTTAAGCTATCATGACAGGAACGAAGAAAACAGAAGCCAAATGATTAAAGTCACCAGAATGCACCAACTGATTTTCAAGCTGAGCCAGTAATCAACTTCTGGTAACATTTGCATTTTTACTTATTCAAGGAAGAAATTTCACATTTTAGTAGGATACATTCCATGTGTACATGATATCGTAAGTGACAGAGGGGGCTAAGAATGCAGTCTATTTCATAGGCCAAAACAATTTTCAGGGGACTGGCAGCTGTAAATTTTACTCAAATTTAGACCCTAGGGAAACACGACCACTTCCTCAGAATGAACCACACATTCCTGAGGCAACAAGACTGCAACGTTCATAATTTTACCTAGTTTACAACAGCCTGGTAAACAACTTCCCTCAAATATATCACTACAAACAAAACTAAATTCCACCCAGTGCTAACAGACCCAGTGGGACAGAGAGCTGCTAAACCGCTCCTTTGGAGAAAGCATGTTCTCTTTACAGATAATAATATCAGTGGACTAGAAGACAATGGAGTAGCTAAAACGGCTGTCACGCTGTAAATGGAAGCCCTTGGTAGTGGTAGGTGAAGTGTGAGGAATGAGGATCAACTCTAGGCACGCCCTCCCAGGCCCAAACCCAGCGTCAGAGCAGATGCAAGTAACAGCTGTTGTGGCGCAAAGAATACGTAGCTCAGGGCCCAACCCAGCAAGGGATGGTTGCTAGAGCTTTGAGGAAATAAAGTCCAGGAACCCACTGTGCAGTCCAGCTTTAGATGGTCAAACTTTAGATGGTCAAATCCAGCTGCAGGGAAAAAAAGAAGGGAAAGAGAGGAGGGTGATGAGGGTTTGTGGCTGAGGTAGTTGTCAGGAAGGTCTTGTCTCCAGTACTCCGGACGGTGCTAGCACAGACACACAGTTCAGTAAGTGAGCTCGGCTGTAATGAGACTAAGTGAAAAGGGCTGGGCTGAGCGAGTGGCGAGAAAGGAAATGAGTGCTGGAAATGGAAGGGAAAGAGGGAAAGATGGGGCAGGCTGCAGGTAAGCTCCAACTGAGCCAGCATCAGCCCAAGAGTGCATGCTCTCACATAGTATACAGAGACGTGTTCTGGATGAATGGATGGATAAGTAGATAGATGATCGTGCACTTACACCTCAGCTATTTCCAAAAGTGAACTAGGAGCAGCTTATATGAAAAATGCATCATTGGTGACTTTAATGATCCACACTGAACTATCACGATGGGCAGGTTCTGCACAAAGAAGAGACAATCTGAGGGAAGTTTGACAGGAAA